TCATCTGTCTGAAAAAGCGAGGAGTGCTGTGATTGGCCAGCTATCCAATGCGTTGTGATTGGCCGAATACCTCAAGCGTGTGACAGAACGAGCCGTTTTAGGTAGGCGTGGTTGACTCTGAACTTTTATAAAGAATATCTCTTTGGATTTGAGACTTTAGTCTTTGCAACTTTACAGATCTTCTTTATGCACCAAGAGCTTGTAACACTCCAAAGAGAAAGGAAAAATTGAAATCGCATCATATGACCCCTTTAAGTTAAGGTCATTGCACACCGAGTCCGAAATTTTTGCATGTTAAAAAATAAATACGACCTCATGTTGTGTCAATCACGTTTACACACTGCCACTGAAACTTTCGTCTGTCATTTATAAAAAAATTCAGATAGGGTTTGATTTTCTGCATTTTTCGCTTCCGTAGCAAGCAATTTCAGAGATGTTTTGACAAATCAGAGCCACCGTAGAAGCAAAAGCCAAAATTGTATGCAAAGACCTTTACAGCGCAAATATGTCCTTCTGTAAAATTCTTTGTATTGAAACAGTTTTTAAGAGTCTCTTCATTTTAATAGCTGACATAATCACAGAATTTCTACAGTTGTTTATAAAAATTTGTGGTATAATTGTAGACTCAGATGCTGAACTGTTTAAATCAGACTGTTTGTACAGGTGGATGCTGATTATGCTTCTAATAATTGTTTTCTCTTTACAGGAATGCCTAAAAAGGAAGTTTCTTTGTAAAATAAAAAAAAAATAAAATTGGACATCTGTGTTTGTGTTTTTAATGGTGTGTGTCCATGAGAATGATTAATGGCTGCTTGTCTCTTTAAGGGGCATAAATAATTCAAATTATGAAATTTGAAATGATCAATTTTCAGTTATTATATGATTGGATTCAATTAATTAACCATTATAGGGAAAGACAACAAGCTGTGGTCTTAAGAGAGCATGTGATCTGTATTTTGATTGGACAGGATATAGTTTCCTAAGATTCATTGTCAGTGTTGGGGAAAGTTACTTTTAAAAGTAATGCATTACAATATTGCGTTACTCCCTAAAAAAGTAACTAATTACATTACTTAGTTACTTTTTATGGAAAGTAATGTTACGTTACTTTCGCGTTACTTTTTAAATATGAGCAGGGCTTGATTGTTTTTAATATAAGAAGTTCTGTTTATAGCAAATATAAAAGCCCTTTCACACCAAAAAGTGTAATGAATAAACCTCAGGCTGAAGGAAAAGTAAATTCACGTCGGTACAGTAGAACACAGGAGAAGGTTCAACACATTGAACAAAACATTGAAGCACAATTGTTAGTTTATCTGAAGTCATTTTTACTTAGTATGGTTGAACTAGATCATCAAAGGTCAGCAGCAAAGACATTGGTTAATAAAATGGGATTAGATACATTTGTGTTATTTAACATGTTTAATTATTGCATGTTTGTGTCATATTCTGAGTTTGCATTTCACTGTTTTTAATTCATTTTGATGAATACTAAATCAGTTTTTTATGAGTTGGGATGAGTGGGATGAATTAATGCACATTCACATTTAGTCTAGAACTACTGTAAAATCGTGTTCACATAGCGCACACAACGCCTCTGTACTTTCTGATTTCTCCCAATATGGGGACAGGAGATGTCAGTCAATAAATGGGAAAACAGTAACTGGCGTTACTTTTTTGAAAAAGTAACTTGGATATTTTCTTGTCAATAAAAAAAAGTAATGCGTTACCCCCAACACTGTTTATTGTCTGTTATTTTAAGCGGTAAATTATTTACATGTGCTACACTGAGTGGTAAAGCAAACTTTTGGATAAGTTTTAACTGCAATAAAGATAATAGCCAGATGGGGGTGCTAAAAGGAGGTGCTCAGTTTACCATCAGTTGACACAGTGTCTTTTATAGGAAAGTGATGTTTTATCATTAAAGAATGGTTACTGTGGGTTATTTTCTGATTTGCCCACCTATTTATATATATATACACACACACACACATACATGCATATATAATATATACATATATATATATATATGTATATATATATATATATATATATACAGCGTCGGGCGCGTGGG